TTTCCTGCCAAAGCTGGTCGTAACCCGAAACGTCCGTTAGTAGAGGCGTTCGTATCCCGAGGTACCACTGTACATCTCTAGGAGCATGGAAGAGCCATAAATAATAACAACAAAAATTGTTCTGTATATATTTGTTGTTTTTCAGCTCTTTTGTACGCCACCCAGAGTCACTTGTTTGTGAGATGGGTGGCCATATAAATCTGGTGAATAAATAAACAAACATACATATTTTCACCCTTAAAAAAAAAAAGATTAAAATATGATGTACCCCAGATGGTTGACCCAGCAAGGAGGCAGCCACTAGCCAACCTTGAGTGATCTCAAAAAGCTAATGTGGCTTGGACTGGATTAGTACTTGAATGGGAGATCACCAGAAAATCCCAAGGCTGTAGGGTAGACTGAGGAAAGAAAAAAAAAAACTAAGTAAAAAAAAAGGGGCAAATGATTTCCATATTATTTCCAAGAAAATTGCCTATAATGTCCATAATCACTAGGAGTCGAGCTCAAATTGGGGAGTCTTTATCTATAACCAAATAATTGGCCTGACACTGAGTTACAGGGGCACTATTTGGAAGGGACAGCGGGCTACAAAAATGAGCGTGGGGCCAATGTAGCTTGCAAGTCTGGTCACCTTGCCTTGAATTATAGGTTGGAGTTAAAGGTGTTTTTGCACAGTTAGCAGTGTGATAAAGTTTCGTACTGGCTCAGAAATGGTTCCCAATGCAAGGCTACGTTGGGGGTCTTGCCCATCCCCATCCCACCTGGATGGCAAACACGCCATGGTCATGCATGCCAGAGCAGTGCGTGACTGGATCCCTGCAGGATCGCACTCTGGAATCTCCCACCTGGACAGCGTGCAGCCCAGGGTGTGCACCCAACAGGTGGCTTTGCTCTGATCTCTGACAAGCGCCTGCTGGAGCTCTGCCAGAGCTTCCTCCCACTCTGTCTGAACAAGACTCTGCCTGTCTAGGGAGAGGGAGAACAAGCCGTAACAGCAAACCTGATCTAAATATGCCAACTCCCCCAAATTTTTGACCTCCCACAGATTTTCTTAAGTCTCCCAAAGGGTCGCAAACCACTGTTTGAGAACCCCCGATGCATGGTATCACTGTTTGGACTTTTAAATTTGGTCAGGGGTTTTAGGTTGCTAGCCACTGGCTGTAACAAAAATCTCTCTTTTCCTTCTTTTGTCTTCTCCTCCACCGCTTAGTTTATTTCTGCTGTGTCCACCTTGCACCAAGTACGTGAAAAACTGGAGTCCCTGGGTCTTTGTTCCTTGTCTGCTGGCCTTGAATTCATCCCAATTATCCATGCCCAGCTATCAGATGCAGAGATGGACGGGGCCTTGAAATTGATAGAGGCGCTTGAGGACCACATGGATGTTGTTCGGGTATATAACAACATTGCCTAGCTTTCCCAGCCTACCTCCAGGAGCTACTGAAGCCTTGCCAGCTAAATTCTGCTATTATTTTTCCCTGATCCAAGCCATGGCTACTAATGTTGACACGGTAGATGAGGTTTGCTGTTTCTCTCTTGCCCCCCTTTCCAAATTCCTTTTCTGAAGGCAGCCCTGCGGCATGTACAAAATGTGGGTGCTAGAAAAGTACTAGAGCAAGAAGATGCTATGACAGCTTCTAGAAATATCTGGGATTGGTTACTGGCTTCCACTGGAGGACAAGCACCGCAGTGATGCTGTCTCATTAACAACTCAGTATAGCAAACTAATTGAAGATATTCCCAAGCCAACCATGATACACTGACTGAAATTTCAGTAACCTTGATGTAACTTGATATCTCCATGGTCCCTGTTTCCTGAGCCGTTGGGAGAGTTCTGCCTTCTTCAAGCATGCAAGCTCGTGAAAAGCTCTTACGTGCAGCTGGAGGGGAAAGCAGATTTTAAGTGTGATGGACCCAGTTTGGATACATAACCTTGCTACTTTGAGATACCTCTGTGATGGATAGTAAATGTATCCAAATAGCCATTCTGATTCGTCCTTGAGAATCATTCAGCAGCAATTAACATTTGTGTTTCTAGGAAAATTATCACTTGGTTTTTTTCTCTTAGCTTGGTTTGTTCAGAAATATTAATACAGAAATTGTAAGAGAAAGTTGGTGTGCAAACAATGTCTGTTTACACTGATAACTGTGTATGCATATACATTTAAATAGGCCACTGGGTATGGTTCTATCAGATTGAGAAAAAGTATGTTTATAGTTGTGTGGCTGGCATGTTTCAGATGTGTATGTATGAATGCTGATGAATGTGTCTGTAAACAGACATCCACGTATGTCACCACTGATTAGCAAAGTTAGGATTATGAGCCTATGCGTTACAAAGTTATCACTTGGGAGTTTGGGGAAAGAAATGCTCTTCCTAAAGGAGAATTTTGTATCAGCTAAGCAACATTTTTGTGTTTTATATTCTCTCTCTTACTACTCCCACTTGCACCATCAAATTTTCTTCATAGACACATTTTAAACCTTTGTTACAAAACAGGTGGCAAAGAGAAGGCTTATGCACAAACTTCTTAATATACCAGGAAAATCAATAATGGGGAAAAATCGAACATGATAAAACATGTCAGTCATTGTGTGCTTGATATTGTGTGTGAATCTCTCTTTGGACCCTCTGTAACCAATGCTGCTCCCCCAATATTGGCGTAGGCCTGCTCCTGCTTTGCTCTGAAATGTTAGAAACCACCAGACAACTTTTTCTCCTAGTATAAAATGAGAAAGTATAGTAACATTTGTAATTTAATTGCTAGTCTATTAGCATTCACACATTACAAAATGGCATAGGAAGGGGAATTTACACAATCATTTATAATGAGAAAGTATCTTAGTAGCATACTAGCATGTGGCTGACAGTATCAATGAGCATAACACACACACATATTTTTTGTTTGATATACCCATTTGAAGATTCTGGGTGAAAAAAGAAATACACCATCTATAAGTTCTACATGTTAATTGCTGTCTAAACTGAACACAAGACATGATCTAACATCACCTTTTCAATCGAGCTACGATGGAAACATTTTGACATTAATTGCTGTCCCAGCTATAGGAAAACTCCGTGACTAGTAGATGTTCACGTAATGGCAAGAGGGTTTTTTTTTACAAAAGCATGCAACGTTGTACTCCAGGGGTTGGTAAACCACAGGCCATATGTGCTCCTTTCCATCTCACAAGTGGTCCCCAAGTAGTCCTTTGGCTGTTTGGAATCTTTTGGGATCAAAATGAGTGTTCAATTTCTAGTATCAGAACACACATGGTTGTATAGTCTCCCAACTACAGATGTCATAATATCACTGCATGTATTGGTTTGGGGCAAGGATTCTCAGACTGTGAGTTGTAATCTGGAGAGTCACAAACAAGTATTACAAGTAGTCCTCGCTTAATGACCACTTGTTCAGCAACCATTCAAAGTTACAATGGCGCTGAATGAATGGTACTTATGCCTGGTCCTTGAAGTTATGGCCACTTCAGTGCCCCCAGTGTTATATAATCAAAATTTGGGCACTTAGCAATCCACCTGCATTTATGACTGCAGGCTGTGTGTCAACTCCCCCCACCTGCATATCTCCCCCCACCTCTGCCCTTTTGGCTTCTCTGTGCTCTGCTGCCCCCACGCCCCACCAACAGCTGCCTTGCAAAAGGCCAGACCGGGCGTGCCTCATCAGCAGTGGGAGGAAGGTTGCAAAGGTCAGCTGGGGGTGGCAGGGGTAGGCAGTGGAGTGCAGGGTGGCCAAAAGAGCAGAGATGGGGGGGAGATAGGCAGGTGAGGGGAGTTGAAGCAGAGGTGAGCACAGCAGGGCAGGAGAAGCGTGTGGTCCTCGCCTAACGACACGCAACCAGGACTACCCAAACTGCCATTACTAAGTGGTGTGATGTTTCGCCTAATGACCGCATCACTTAGCAATGGAAATTCCGGTCCCAATTAGGGTTGTCAAGTGAGGACTATCTGTAGTGGGTTGCAAAGGGTGTGTGTGTGTGTGTGTGTGTGTGTTTTGCACATAGAGCAATCCTTGCTCCTGTTATGCCTAGACAAACCAACAGCTTGTTTGCCCAGGCAAAGTGGGAGCGTGGCTTAAGAGGGCTTTAGCAGATGACTTCTGCACAAGAAGCAGGACTGTTGTCAGAACTGGTTCCCCCTTTGGACAAGCCAATGACAAAGTCAAGGTCTGAAGTTGCTGCTATACAGAGCAAATATTGCTCCAAAGTAAGTGAGCTGGGAATGAGAGCGGCTGCCTCAAAAATAAAACCAAGGTATCAGGAATTATGCAAAACTAAGCAATTTCATCTTTTTAGGGAGGTCACGGCTCCAAAAGTTTGAGAACCCCTGGTTTTAAGAATTCCATAGCACCCTTTAAAAGTCCTAATCCCCCAAATGTAGTTTTTAAATCACTTCTAATCTTACTGTTTCTGGGGGAAGCTTCAGAGATAAAGCAGGTGCTTGGACCCACCGTAAGCCTAAAGCAGAAGAAAAACCCCTCTGAAAATTTCAACCAAGCCCATTCTAGTCATATCAGGCATCACTGCTCTCTCCCCCCATAGAGGAACTAGAAAGTGTGAAGCCTACTTAAAGCTGCACTCCTGTTGCACTCAGTCAGGGTCAGTTTCTGGACTCTGAGGGAGGGGGGACCCAGCCGAAGGAGCACAAGGCAGGAAAAGTTCAGTATAGCCGTTCCCGCTGGGTGGGGACGGAGAGGCGGCAGGGAACTCTAGGTTCATCGGTCCGGCCAAGCCTTGACTCTGGAAAGCCTCAAAATCCGTGCCAGGGTTCCCTGGAGACAGCCCGTCAGGAGCGGGTCCATCGTTTGGGCGACAGACCTCAAAGCGGCACCAGCGGTACCCAGCACACTTGTGTGCCCCTGGGCAGCTCTGGATGAGGTGCTGGATCGCGGGGTGCGACAGCCCAAAGAATTCGGCCCCTGCTGGTTCAAGCTGGCCAGCCCCCACCGCCTCCAGCAGCTGAGCGTGGCAGGCATCCGGGGTGGATCCGGTTATTACACCCCCCAGTTCATCTTCGGGGGCAATTTCAAAGTGTGGCCCGGTGCCCCCATCCTTGATCTGGCAGGTGTAGAGGCAGCGGTGAATTGGCCTGCGGGTACTGGCAAAAACCCTGGTACTGCAGTACCCCACGGGGTAGATGGCATTCTCCGTGTGGAAACTTGGACGGTCAGAGACAATCTCGCCCAGACTGTAGACAGTCAGAGGGCCTAAAGCGATGGGAAAAACTGGCCGCCCGGAAGGATCCAGGGGAAGCGGGGGGACCAGCCGGCGGATGGCCAGCTCTGGGGGTGCCCTGCGTTTGGATGCTCGGCCGTTCTCTTTGCCTTTGCGCTCCCGGCGGGGTTTGCGAGCAGCTGGCTCATCTGGGGAAGGCTGCAGGCTGGCCACCACCGCTGGTGCGGGAGAGTCATCCTCAGCCAGGGCTTGTGCCTGCAACAGGCGAGTAAGCAGGAAGCGGCGCTCCTCACGCACCCTCAGGTATTTGGCCTCCAGCCGGGCAATCTCATCGCACAGGGCCGCGTTCTCGTAAACGAGCACCTTGGCCACGCGGCAAAGACGCTGGAACTTCAGGCGGTAACGTTCGTCTTGGTTTTTCCGCAGATTTTTCTTCATCGCGGGTGGTAGCCAAGATGAAAGGGTGCGCACGGAAGAATCCTGGGGAGGAAGAAAGGTCCAAAAGGCAATTTCAGGAATTGTATAGAAATTTCCAGCTCAATGTTATCCTAGCAATCAGTCACCCATGCCCAAAACATAACCGTGAATATGACAAGCCCGGCTACTTCTAATCACACACAAGTATACTGTAGCGTACAAACTGTACCCTTGGAGTTTCCTAAAATGAGATTCAGTACACGTAAAAGCAAGTCTTTGCTTGCACATGAGCAAGAAAAATGCAGAAAAGGGCAAGCCAGATGATCAAAAGCTGGAGCAATTCCACAATGAGGAAAAGTTACAACATTTTGGGGATTTTAACATTTTTAAGAAGTAGTACAAAATATTGTGGCTGCTCATTCAATTCTATAAATTCATGGATCCCAAAGCAACTATTGGCTATCTGAGAAGGAGGAGGAAGCTTGGTACAGGCAGTCCTCGTTTAGCGACTGCAACTGGAACCAGCAACTTGGTTATGCGAAGCGGTCACTAAGTGAAACTGCGATTATGTTTACGATCTTACTTCAGCTTCCTTTGCTTTACCGGCCTGCGAAGGTCGTAAATGTGAGGATTGGTCACAAAGTTACTTTTTCATCACTGTTGTAACTGCAAATGATCACTATATGAGACAATTGCTGAGTGAGGATTACCTGTACTAGCACCTGGGTGACTGCTATTGAACCAGATTCTGGGATAAACCCTTGATCTAATTCAGCACAGCCCTGAGTCTCACATGGAGCAGCCACATTCCAGTTGCAGGGCTGTTCCATTTTCCATCTATCTATCTATCTATCTATCTATCTATCTATCTATCTATCTATCTATCTATCTATCTATCTCGAATTTAGACACCGCCCAACTCACGAGGAAGTTTTAAACAGAAGCTCTTTTCACTTTCCCAGGGTCACCTTCTTCCTTAAAAGTCCAGTAAAACAATGTTTCTGGGAAGATTCCTCCCCCCACATTTACCTATTCAAAGCACTATAAAGGGGGAGCTTAGGGCAAGGAGGAAACTAGAATAAAAGAAGATAAACACCAAGGTAGGGACACAGCAATGCCGAGAACTGAACAAGTAGATAAGGAAGAACTGACTTTGTACAGAGGTTCCTAAAACAAAGCATGCCAGCGGTCCCAGTTGGTGGTAATGGGCCCTTAACTCCTTGAACCTCTCGATCACCATGCTGGCAAAGGATACTAGGATCAGTAGTCCCAGTATGGCTGGGGGACCCTAAATTAGGGGAGAGTCTTTAATGGATTTTGCTACTGAAAGAGATAATACAACGGGCATTCACTTCCATGGGTTCCAAAGTGAGATTTGACACACTCAGGGCAGACCCAGATCAATTAATGCTGTCACGATGGGCAAATAAACCCCAGTTAGAAACCATCTATCACAGTGTTTCTCAACCTTGGCCACTTTAAGACGTGTGGACTTCAACTCCCAGAATTCTCCAGCCAGCCAGTTGAAATCCACACATCTTCAAGCGGCCAAGGTTGATAAATGCTGGTATAGAGCTACAAGGTGCCTATAGGTATATAGTTGAAGTCCACACGTCTTAAAGTGGCCAAGGTTGAGAAACACTGTGCTAGAGGCATCATGACCAGTTTTTACAAGTTTTTCAATCTCACCTCCTGGACCAGTGTTTCTCAATCTCAGCCACATTAAGATAGGTGGACTTCAACTCTCGGAATGCTGGCTGGGGGA